CACACACTACAATGCTACTTATAATGCTAGCATTATCTGCCCAGGTCTAGCTCTAGGTGACATTGCAAGTTCAACAAAACGGTAAGAGTAAGTGACAAAATCATCACACTGTATAATTATGTCATCACTAGGGGACGTGTTTAAACTGCCTGCGACACAATAACTGGTTCAAAGTCTGTGTTGCCAAGTTACCTGTGACACCGTCGTCTGGCAAGATGTATTCGAATGTCGGTGACTCGGCTTCTGCTATTGCGCCTGGAGGAGCAGCCGCAAATGCACGTCTAGAAGGAACCCAGATTGTGGATCCAAGTTCTATAACGGACAACGAGGCAGAAGAGTACTCTCGGAAGGACATTTCGGAGCATACACGAGACAACCAGTCATTGCTACGCTACTTGGCGAGAAGGAAGGTGATTCGTAATGAAATACAATGTAACCAATGCGAAAGATCAGCCTGGATATCTGCTTATCCGCGGTCAAATTGCGGGTACCGGTGGCAGTGCACTGGTTGCAAGTCTACATGGCCCACCGTAGCTAAATCAAGTCTTTCCAGTGCCCCAGGAAATCTCATGGATATTTTCCTTGGCTTCTTTACATTATTTGACCTGCCAACCTCGTCGAAAGTGGAGATTTCACCGAAATACAAATCGTATAAGTGGATACTCTCCAAAAGCGCCCAAGGTCTTGAAAGGAATATGCAGTTTGGACCTGACCATCCAGTGTGTTTTGATGTTTTCAAGCCACATTCGGAATGTACGATATTTATAGCCGTAGAGATGAACACTAACTTGGCAGCGACAATGACGGACAGGTCCGTTAACCTTTCTCACGTGCCGATATTTTTACACAATTGCTTAAGACCAGGAAGCCAGATCCTTTACAAATCTTCCTCAGTCGTTCTTTCTCCGCAGTCTCTCAGTTCACATGAATACTCGTTTATAGATGTTGATGATCATACGCAAGTGACGTCAGTACAGTACAAGGATAAACACGAGGCAGCTATTTCCTGCTTCATTGATGAAATGCAAGCGAGCTACACCAGACTAGATGGATTGTTAAAGGAAACGATGAGTATTGGAAAGTGCGCTCAGGTGCTATCATTACAGCGGTATTTCTCTATGGAGTCTGTAACTCGGGCTGTAAATCCATTTGCGTGTTATCTTAGTTTCTTGCGTGAAGGCATTACTCATGCATAGTAAACTGCAGGTTTGGGTAGTCATGAATATTCTATAGGGTTTACCCTTCAAAGTATTTCATACCTATTCATAATCTTAGCCTGTTCAATGCATTTTCTTTGTGAAAAATCTTACCTTGTGATCGTAGTGCACACCTCTGTATTTGTTTGTAGAAACCCACTTGAACGTTCGTATTGTTTTGTTCCTTGTTTCTGTTTGGTGGTCAGATCGTCCTTGGGACATTACAGCTTGCTCTTGCATGTCTTACACTATGCTTTTAGTTTCACCAACATTCTGTTTCTGTCTCCGTCTGGTTGCTCATTTGTTATGGTGTAAATTAAATGCTATATGTGTGTATCTGTTATGCAACTAACTCAACTGTAGCCTTGACACAGTGATATATAGAAGGTCACGTGCAACTAGCCCTTCGCAGGTTATGCTACAAAGGGTGGTAAATACTCGTTGAAGACCAGTACAAGTAGCAGAGCTCTAAAAACCTTATCACACGTACTTCATTGAAATCTGTTCCATATTTTATCAAGTTGAAAAACATCCATGAAACATATAAGAAAAAGTAACAGAATCCGCTAATTTTTCTTCCCATATTTTTCTCCAAATTCTATCTGTAGGATTACTGTATGTATTGTACGCATAGGTCAATGAACTAGGTCAGCCAGTGACAGTTATCACGTGATACCATGTGCATGTCAAGTACATGTATCATGACAAAGCTGTTTAGATGTTCATATACCAGTTCAACGGATACCTAACCTGTGGAACATGGCTTTTGTGTCAGGGAGAACTTGTCACCTTACTTGTATAATTGTTTGTACATTGCTGTGGTCACCCATCTAAACCGTTTATTGTTTGTTTGTTGTTTGTATTCTTTATTTATAGTAAGAAGTCCAAAACATTCCCTAGCCTAATAAGTAATAACAATGGTCCCACCAGTGAGGGAATGCTGTTTATCTGTACATACGGATCAATGAGTGTAACAGCAACTATTAGGGAAAGAAAACGAGAGAAGAAAAAAAACTCAAAAAAGGAGTCGCGACTTTCATAGGAAGAAAATAACGTAAAGAGCAATACATACAGCATTTGGAAAGAGGATTATTTATCTGGTAAGCAAAAAGGCAAGAGCCATTGACTTAAAGCGATTGCGTTTTCTTTCTTGTCTGACCGCAGCGTTGAGCTGGTTCCATTATAGGGTCCCAGTATAGGTAACACGTTTGGCAAGATATGCAGTTGGGCTGGCTGGGACAATCAGTAAATTCTTGTGCCCACCACGAGTTTGAGTGGAATTTCTGCAGCTGAAAAAGATAGCGAACAACATGCTGATGTTAGAGGAGTCATGGAGACAACGCCAGATAAAAAAAAAAGGTGCATGTTGGCGTATGTGGTCAATGTTTGGATGTTCATGCGTGTGAGAATATTGCTTGTGGGTTTTATGGGAGGTACCCGACAGACTGTGCGTTGAGCACACTTGTAGAGCTCATTAAGCCGTCGACTTTGATACACCGTCAGAAATGGTAAGTAAGCAGAAGCGGCATACAAAAAGTGTGATAAAACGAAAGAACGAGAGTAGGTTATGCGACATTGAAAAGGCAGGAACGTTGTGTATCGTCTGAGCACGCCAACTTTTGACGCGACGCCCCATCCAACATGGTGTTCCAGCTCATGTTCACATCAAAGTGGAGACCTAAATATTTCGCAGAGCGAGTAGTTGGCACAGCCAGTTCATTACATTGCACCTGCAAGTCAAATGTTTGATACCGTACTGGCGATATCCGTATTCTCTGTGTCTTCTTTTCATTCAAGATGAGACCGCGGCTCCTAAGCCAATCGGCGAGATGCGGGAGAGCACTTGAGAGATTTTGGGACACCTCATCCATGCTCATGCTGCTGGATCTAATTGAGATATCGTCCGAAAATTGCAGGGTCGCAACTTTGTGAGGGGACAACTCTTTCGCAATGTCACGGACGTAGAGAACAAACAACAGGGGTCCGAGAACTGACCCCTGTGGTACTCCGGAGAAGATGGTGTATGGTGAGCTCTGTACCTGACCGACTTTGACATACTGTGTCCGATCTGAGAGGTAGTCTGCAAGCCATTGCAGCACCGTTCCATCAATTCCGATCTCGAATAGGTCTTGAATGGGTTTGGTGCTTCGCCTTATCAAATGCTTTTGACATATCCACGAAAGCAATCCCCGTGAGGTACTTTTTTTGTCTGGGCTTGGCATATGCCCTCAACGGCTTATACAAGGGCATCACACGTGGAATGATGTGAACTATAGCCGAACTGGTCCGATGGAAATAGATCATGTCGGCACAAGTACTGAGTGAGCTGATCATGGATGACTCATTCCAAAAGTTTGAAACTATCGACATTAGAGATACGGGTCTGTGATTCTTTGCTATGCTGGTATCTTCATCTTTAAACACAGCTGAAATGCTGGCCACTTTCATGGGAGCTAGGCAATGTCCCTCCCTCATGGATATGTTGAACAGTAAGGCCAATGACGGCGCAAGGCCATCTGCATGAGCTGGAAGAAGGGCTTAAGGAATGCCGTGACTGCCAGTTGCCTTCGTCGGATTCGATTGCTCTAGACGCTTCCGAACTTTTTCAATAGATACAGGAACAAGTTCCACAAAACTAGTTGCCGTTCGTGTCCCTTGGGGTAGGTGAAGATGAACTGGCCGGCTGGGATCTCCCACGATCTCGGCGAAAGCACTTCGAATTGCTTCAGCTGAGCACTGAAGCGGTGCCGATTTTCTTTGTTTCCCCGTCAGCTGGTTGATGATTCGCCAGGTTTGTTTTACATTACAAGTTGCAAGCTGAAATTTTGCACCGTAGTACGCATTTTTCAGCTTCCGGTTACACATAGTGGCCTCTCTTCTCTCCGCTTTGAATATGGCGTACATTTGCTCAGATCTGTCTGACAGCCACTTTCTATGAAGCCAGGTGCGCTTACACAAAATATGCAAGAGCTTGCTGTCCATCCACGGTACTGATCGTCGCTTGTGTTGCTTACTAGATCTGAGAGGGGCATGAGTGTCAAGCACCTGCAGGAAGCGATTATTCCACTCAGTCCACATGTCTCTTGGGATGCCTTCGATGCTGCAAAAATGCTGCTGAATCAAGTCAGCTTTGAAGCGTTCATGATTTATGCTTTGGTAGTTGCGGCACACCATTAATGTCTCGGGACTCCTTGTCGGGTGAAGGTAGAATTCTTTAAGACTGCTGCATGGTCGCTGGAAGCCACGGGATGGATCGTTGCCACATTGTGCTGTTCAAACGTATTGAAGGACAGATCCAATGTTGTGTATATGGAATTAGAGGCACACCGTGTATGCCGATGAACGCCCTGGTGGAGACTGTAGCTTGCCATGTTGTGTTGGAATAATAATCGTCTACCCTTACAAGTCGACGATGAGACAATAATCTGTGATCACAGTGTAGATTTCACGTACAATGTGCGCAGTCATTAGATGCATGGTTCTGAGTATGCATACATCACCACTGGAATGGTTTGTTTGTTTTCTCAGAACGTTTTCTCGTGTTGGTTTTTCAGTCAGAGGACATCGTCGAATGGTAGATAAATATAATCAAGGTGATAGGCCGAAGGGCCGTGGATAGAGGGGATAGGAGTGTGAACAGCAGGTAACACTGTTACACCATCCCACTCCCCTAAAGGAAGCATAGGGTTCTACGAGCAACTCAAGTAGGTAAATCTGCATGTGGATAAGCGGAATAAGTCGAGAACCCAACAGTCAAATCGCGAGGAAAATTACACAGAATGCAGTGCAATGGAATTCCTGAAGTTAACTCAGCTGCAATATCAGTGAAGATTCCTTGAATTTAAATAACACAATGTCTCTGCCAGACTCATCGCGCAAATTAGTTGCGGGTTCCCTTGTAGCTTCGTCGACAGGATAGCCCTGCCAATGGACCAGGTACTCTCGCTGTCCCCTACGTTCTCGGTGATCCAGAATTTCTTCGACCATGAACCGTGTGTTTCCATCGAGGTCAGTGAATGACGGTGGTGGAGATTGCTCTCTGCCAGGAACAGCGTTTTCCTCATACCGCCGCAAGGCAGTAATGTTGAAGACGGGATGGCAACGAATCGTGCGAGGAAGCTCCAAACGATATGCGTTTGAGCTAATCTTTGCCTGCACGCGGTAGGGCCCAAACCACCTTGGCCGCAGCTTCCGGGACGGTTGAAGACGGGCCTCTGGCGTTAGCAAGAAGTCCTTATAAACAAGCACCATATCACCAACCTTGAACTGGCTGGTGTGGTGTACCCGTGTACATCGTACATATTTGCACTCTCATGTTTCTTATTATGCTACTGCATCTCCTTGCATGGACGTGCGTACAACCTTACAGCATACTACTCATACTATGCGTGCATGTGTGTACTCCGTGCCCATAATCGACAGTGCATGTCTCTTGTTGCTGTTCAGTCTTTCCTTGGTAGTTTCCTGACGAGTCGTCCTCTCTCAGTCCTTCGTTGCATTATTCTATTTCAATATAACTAATCATCACATAGACTTGATGATACCACATGGCGCAGTGAACTTGTTTTAGTAGCAGTTTCCATTAGTCTTTCTCAGTCCTGGGTCTTGCTAGTACCTCTGGCGTTTCGTCTCTCAAATAATTATAGTGAAATAATTATTTGAAATTTCCGTTTCGGCATGGCGGAATCAGACACACCAGTACTCAGCCCTGACATTGCTGCCCTCGCCCAGCTCATGAGACAGCAGATGGTGACCGCCGCCACCCGCGAGCAACACCTGACACAGCTCGTGGAGCGAACTTTGAGGAGCATTTCTCAACCTCCACCACCGCAACGTCCACCCCCAGCCCCACCGGCACGAGAACATGTACCTGCGGCGAGACCAGTTTCGGTCGATCGCCCTCTGCTACTTGCCTCTGCCTCTCTCGCAGAGTTTGCCGCATGGGAAGGTCTTTGGCGGGACTACGCCCGGTGCCAGCACCTGGATTCCCAGGACAATGCCACCAGAGTGGCAACGGTTCGTCAGTGCCTGGACGAGGACCTCCGGAGATTTCTTCGTGAGGGCACACTTCCTCTGGCTGACAACCACGACGACGACGATCTCATCAAGGCTGTACAGGCATACATTCGCGGCCAGCGTAACCCTCTGCTGGACCGGATCGCCTTCTATGCCCGCCAACAGCAGCATGGAGAGTCCTTCGATCAGTACCTGACTTCCCTCAGGGAGATCCACAATTGCTGCGATTTCAGCGAAGCTGCACTCTGCAATTTCTGTTCAAGCAGAGTATGCCGCCAATGCCAGCAGGGACAGCGTACCAGGTACGATGAGACCATGCGTGATCGCCTGGTTACTGGCATTCTCGACACGGAGACACGCCATAAGCTCCTTGCCACTACCGATCTAACGTTGGAGAAGGTCATTAAATTGTGTCGAGCGGAGGAGGCAGCCTCTCGGACGAGCAGCAGTATCCCCGGCACTAGCTCCGTCAATGCCGCTCGGAAAACAAATTATCAGCGGTCTAAACACGGCAATAACCCGCGACAGCAACAGCCGTCCGCCACGCCATCGCAATGTCCGAATTGTGGTCGCACTCCCCACGCCAGCAAGTCGCAGTGTCCTGCACATGGCAAGAAGTGTAGCGGCTGCAAGACTATTGGACATTTCCAAGCGGTGTGCAGAAAATCCCGCAAACCGGCTGACCAGTCCTCGCAGCGCACGCTGGGACGACTACAGCTCCGCCGCGCTCAGTGTGATGCATCTCCTACGGTGCCAGTCGACACACAATTGTGCACTGAACCTGACGCTACCTCCCTAGAATGGATCCCCGATACGGGAAGTGACATTGACGCTATTGGCGTCGATCAGTTAGCGCATCTCGGTGGTTTTGTGGAGAATCTGGCCACAGACCATGATAATGTGCATGCTGCCAATGGTGAACGTCTCGTTTCAGCTGGCAAGATCTCTGCCACTCTCACCATCGGCTCGCTCAAGCATGATAGCACCATCCATGTGTACCGTGGACTGCGTGAACCCCTGTTGTCACGCCAATCGCCATACGCCTTAGGCCTCTTACCAGACGGCTGGCCCAAGCAAGTTGCGCGTGTTAGTACCAGCAGCACACCACCTCCAACGGCTCCCGTTGTGACGACCGGTCTGGTGAACACACCTGACCCTAGCAAGCTGGCGCAGATCCGTGCTGACCTACTGCGAGAGTTCGCAGACGTCTTCGACGACACGACATTGAAACCCATGTGTGGCAAGCCAATGGACATCATTCTCGAAGATGATGCGAAACCTCACCGAGTCTACACAGCTCGTCCTATCGCACATGCCTACCGTGAGCAGGTGAAAACCCAGCTCGACAATATGGTTGAGGAAGGCATCATCGAGACAGTGTCAGAGCCGTGCGACTGGTGCCACCCCATTGTTGTAGTCGACAAGAAGAATTCTAGTGAGAAACGTCTGACTGTAGACCTTCAGTCTCTCAACCGACAAGTGAAGCGTCCCACCCACCCCATGCAGAACGCACGTGATGCTCTCTCTGGCATCGGCACAGCCCGATGGTTCACCAAGTTTGACGCCCGTCATGGCTATTGGCAGGTGCCCCTGTCTGAGTCTGCCAAGTCTCTCACTACGTTCATCACGCCGTGGGGTAGATACCGATTCTGCCGGAATCCACAAGGTCTTGTGTCCGCCGGCGATGAGTACAACCGCCGCACCGACGCAGCTTTCGACCGTTTGACCCATCTCATCAAGGTGGTGGACGACGGCCTCGTTCACGATGAGTCATTCTCGGACCATGTCGCTCACGTCCATGCCGTCCTGACCCGTGCACGCGAACACGGAATTACTCTCAGTCAAAAGAAGTTTGTCTTCGCCGCTGCTGAAGTCGAATTCTGTGGGTTTCATGTGTCGTCCAACGGATACACCGTGCCAGCTGACAAGACATCGGCTCTTCAGCACTTCAACCTACCCACCAATCGTACCGACCTCCGTTCCTTCCTCGGTCTGGTGAATCAGTGTGGAGAATTCACCCCACGGATATCCGAGCTCGCAGCTCCGCTACGTCCGTTATTGAAGACCACGAATGAGTTCGTGTGGGATGATGTCCACACCGCGGCTTTCAACGCCGCAAAGTCTGAACTGACATCGCCGCCGACTCTCTCGTACTACCGTCCTGGTGACGACCTTCGGCTAGAGACCGACGCCTCTGCCCTGAACGGACTTGGGTTCGTGTTATGGCAACGCCAAGATAACCAGTGGCGCATGCTGCAGTGTGGCAGCCGCTTTCTCACCGACGCAGAGACACGTTATGCCGTCATAGAACTGGATTTACTTGCTGTGGTTTGGGCTGTCCACAAATGCTCCCTCTTTCTGTGCGGCAGCCGATTCGATTTGTTCACTGACCACCGTTCATTGGTCCCGATTCTGAACAAGTACACCCTGGATCAGATAGAAAATCCACGTCTGCTACGCCTCGCACTGAAACTCCGGTCGTTTCAACTCGTCGCGCACTGGCGCAAGGGCAAAGAGAATGCGTTTGCTGATGCACTGTCCCGTAACCCGGTCGACAAGCCGACCAGTGAGGAAGAATTCGGTGAAAGCTCAACGCTCTCAGCACCAGCTATCAGAGCATGTCTCCGCCAGGACGAGGATGGCCGAATTGCAGACCTCCGGCACTGCGAGCTCTTGGACGCTGCCCGTGCCGATGATGACTATCAGGCCCTTCTCAAAGCCGTTCGTGAAGGTTTCCCTGATGATCAGCGCGCCGTCCACTCAGCTGTGAAACCGTACTTCACTACCCGCGAGCATCTTTCAGTCGACGGTGATCTTGTCCTGAAAGGCCAACGTGTTGTGGTCCCGCGTACCCTCCGCCCACGTGTGCTCCAGGATCTTCATGCCTCCCACCAAAGCCTCAACCGCACACAGCGTCGAGCTCGACAAGTCGTATACTGGCCACACTTGTCTAATGACATCGCCCAAGTCGTTCGCAGTTGCGAACAGTGTCGCTTGCACGCTCCGTCTCAGTGTAAGGAACCGATGCGTGCCACCACTGACCGCCGTCCCACCCTGCCATTCCAGTCAACCAGTGCCGACTTATTTTCCTGTCAAGGCTGGGAATACCTGGTTTACGTCGACCGTCACACTGGCTGGCCTTGCATCGCCAAGATCGGCCGCACTGCATCTTCTGCCGATGTGATCCGTGTGTTCCGTGGCTGGTTCGCCGACGTCGGTGTCCCCAGCATCCTCACCACTGATGGTGGTCCGCAATTTTCATCACGTCGCTTTGCTGAATTTTGCACCCGATGGCAAGTTCAGCACTCCACGTCTTCACCTCATTATCCTCAATCTAATGGCCATGCCGAAGCCGCCGTGAAAGCGATGAAATCACTTGTGTTGAAGACCACGTCCGACGATAACTTGGACGTCGATGAGTTCAGACGCGCATTGTTAGAATAGCGCAACACCCCCCAAGAAAATGGTCAGAGCCCAGCCCAAGCACTGTTTGGTCGACCATTGTCCTCCTTCGTGACAGCTCATCATCTCAGCTTTGCTCCTGATTGGCAAGCCAAAGCCACCGATGTTGACAAGCGCTCTGCCGCTCAGTCTGCCACCCAAGAACAGCATTATGATGAGTCTGCCAGATCACTGTCCCCACTTCGCATTGGCATGCGGGTTGACATCCAAGATCCGCGCACCAAACTCTGGCGCACCACCGGCGTGGTCGTCGCCATTGGTCGCAACCGGGACTATATGGTGAAGTTACCCAGCGGACGTGTTTACTGGCGCAACCGTCGTCTTCTCAAGCCTGCCCCTGCCGTAGCCCCTCCCGCTCCGCCTGCAGACACCTCCCCGGCTGAGCCCGCAGCACCGCAGCAGCCTTGTGTGCAGCAGCCTCGTCGTAGCCAACGGTCTCGTCAGGCACCAGAGCGTTTGAACATTTCGTCCACAGCATCTAGGTCCTATGCTTGACTCTACCTACCTGTACCTTACCCTCTTGCTACAAGTAGTTGGTATTGGTATCACGCTTCATTAGTGTTTACTTTCTTTTCTCTCACTTCTGTTTTTTCCTTCTCGTTTATGTGAGATAAACAGCTCCGATTTTCCGCTTGTTTATCTCAGAAGGGGCGTGTGGTGTACCCGTGTACATCGTACATATTTGCACTCTCATGTTTCTTATTATGCTACTGCATCTCCTTGCATGGACGTGCGTACAACCTTACAGCATACTACTCATACTATGCGTGCAT